GGGGGGGGGGGGGGGGGGGGGGGGTCCTTTCCGAAAGCCCCCCCCCCCCCAAACACCGACCCTGATTGGTTTGAAAACACCTCATGACGCTGATTTTTGAGGTGCCAAACTTGGTTAACATACTGTTAAAACTGCTGTGTTCCGCGGAACAATAATTGTTTTTGCAGATCTGACTTTCCTTCAGTAAACTAAACAAGAACCTAAGCAATGAAGGGTTCAAAATGTTAAGTTGCTACACACTATGAGACTATTGAAAAATACATACTAGTAATCATTAAAAATGTATAAAATAAGAGTGGAATCTGTAGCCTGTATTTTGAGTCTGTATTTGGGAAACAGAAAATTTTTAGTGGTACCGCTACAAGACTGTTGGTTTTGCAATGAAGGAAAATAACAAAGAACCTGAATGGATGTTTGTACATCTGAATATCGACTGCATTAGCTGTCCATACATCTTAGTTCTCCTCCATTAATATATTTGTAGTAGGCCTACACTTCCAAATATTGTATAGTCTTAAATTATTTCATTGTTGTATTATCCTACATTTAACAGCAGCGTTATTTTACTTTATTTTGTTACTATCGTGAAGCATTCTGGTAAAAAAGATATACATACATATACAATAAAAAAACTAAAAATATAATTCAAAATGACTAGAGACATTAGAGAATTACATTGTACACATCACTATGTAAGCATCACCTTTTCATACAAAATGTATCAAGTAAACATGTTAGAAAAATACAGTCCACAATAATTCTGTTTACAGTGCATGAACTGAATTACACCAAATTATCTGTTTCACTGGGAGAACTATGGGTGTCAGGATGCAGTGAAGGTCTCGGTGAAGGTTAATTCTGTAGACGTGTATCATGCTTCTTGAACTCTGCATGGCCTGCACAGACACATGCATCTACATATTCCGGTCTTTCAGCCTTTGCTGATTACGGCAAAAATATAATTCAGACCCTAATTCAATTTCTAGTTCATGTTAAATTCCCTATAAAAATATTTCATTTCCACAAATTGGTACCGAAGACAAAATGACACCTTACATTTCTTAGAGGAAGATACGATTGCATTCCATGGTGACTCCCTTCCCTATTAGAGACGTCACACAAGGAGAGGGAGTCGGCGCTCTGGCGCCCCTGGTGGGGACAACTAAGAACTGCTGCTGAGTCGGCGTCTGAGGAGGGTCTCTGGTTTGGTTTCTGTGTCCTCCTGGTCACTTTCGCACTGTCTCTGTCGGAGGTGAACACAGCGGATACAGTCACTCCTGTGCCTCTGCTACGGTCATATACCGTTGCATTACTGTATTTGATTTTTCATTATTTTAATAATTTTATCTGCAGCGCCTTACATTTTCATATAATTGTATCTATGTACAACCATAGTGTTTCTTTAGGATTTTTTTTGGTTATAAGTCCGTTGCATTCTGTGATATTTGTTTATCGGCTTGTAACAAGCCAAAAGACCTGGCTTTAGATTCTGACAGTGTGGCATAATATATCATATAAACCAGGTGAAAAGAGTTGGGTAATTCAGGTTCAGAGAGTAAGACCAAAGTCCAGACCAAGATTTTGTTTCAACCAACCAGTGGAGTTTAAAGAGTCACAGTCACAGAGTATTCAACTGGTTGGTTGGAACAAAATCCCGGTCTGGACTTTTACTCTATGGACCTGAATTACCCAACTCTGCATATAACTCAATGACATTTCCATCTCAATCGAAACAATGTCTCCTTACCAGCTCCTCATCTACTTTTATACTGGGCTTGCACAGTAACTGAAGACGACAGAATCGGTTACATGCCGACACCATGTTGTAGGACATCTATAGGGAAAGCACAGACAGGAAAGGAAATAAAGCAAACCGGATTAGCACAAAGAACATTTCAAGTTAAATATGACTGCAGTTCCAAAATTGGACAGTAGATGGCGACGTCCACATGAAAGTCAACTTCATGGAGCCGATTCCTTAGTGAGTGGGATCACAATCATGAACATAACAACACTGCATTTGCTGCCTAAAATACAGCTTGATATCAACAGGGCCAGAGCGCAGCATCTAGGTGTATAAGTGTAACTGCAATCTGTCCCGGAGCGTGCTGTGTGTGACTGTGCCCAGCCGCCTCTTCATGTCACACGTTCGGTGACACGAGCTCCTGACTTTTGTGCCAGCCTCTCTGAAGTCAAGCCAGGGGAATACTGAGCTTATGCTAAGGAGATGTGGCCTCAGGAGAATCGGTACGATGTGGGATGTGGGCGGGAGAACGCTAGGCGGCTAAATGGCTAGGCAGACTTTCCGGGAGGGTGCCCCCCCATGCATTTTACAGGACGGAGGGTGGGCCGACACATCACCTTCCATTTCCTCTTGGCGTTGAACCTCTTGAAGTTTTTCATGTTGATGGAGGAGCGATTCCTGGTGGCCGCCTGCTTTCGTGTTAAGGGCTGGGGGAATGGAGGGGGGGGGGGAAGGGGGGCGATCAGTTAACACGTCATCAGGTGATCCGCACACACTGATCATCACCCCATGTAGACACACTAGATCGGGGCTCTTCAAAATCTGGACCTCGATTCCAAATCCAGGCCTTGTTTTCAGGTCTCCCAGGTATGCTAGCAGCAGAGTTGGGTAATTCAGGTCCAGAGAGTATAAATCCAGACCAAGGTTTTGTTTCAACCAACCAGTTGAGGATAAAGAGTCACAGTCACAAGGTATTCAGCTGTTTGGTTGAAACAAAATCCCGGTCTGGACTTATTAACTAAGTCCTAACCTGAATTATCCAACTCTTGCTAGCACACATTGAGGAGCACGATTTCAACAGCCCTGCAGTAGGAGCCAAAAAGCCGGTCCCCTTTCTCACCTTAATCCAGGGATGGAGCAGACACTCATCCGCCGTCATTCTCTCACTGTACAGACAGACAAAGGACTCAGCATTTCCCTCTCCACTGCTACTGAATGACACACATCCCCCATGTTGCCTATGTAAAACCATCCCCAGCATTTACACTCCACCTGCCGCACATCCTTAAGCCCATTTGCATGAAACCTTGCCTGTTCTTCCAGAAATAGGTGCAGGAGCTATTTAATCCGGTGTCTTGTGTATTACTCACATCATCTGTTACTTCACGTTTACTTAGGTCATGCAATAAGTGACCCCGCCCTCTGTATTGTTAGATCATCCAAGCAAATTACTTTTGTTCCTTGCGCAGCAGCTTCTGGATGAAGTCTTTGGCCATGTCGCTGGTTTGTTTAAAATGGTAGTCGTCGAATTCGTAGGTCATGTCTACGATGTTTTTGAGCGTCTCTCCATCAGTATCCCCTTGGAACGGGGACATACCACTCAACCTGTAGTAGGAGGGGGGAGGTCACGGAGATTGCGGATTATACATGTGATGCTAGATGCAGTGAGCGATCACTCAGATTCTCGTTATTGACATGGACACTCACAGTATGTAGGTGATGACTCCAATGCTCCTGGGGATGACCACAAAAAACAGACCGCCGTTATTCCCAGTGCCTTTGCACACCAGTTCTGCACTCACGTGTACTCTACCAAATGTCAAGTCACGTGACAAAATAAAATTAAGTGATCTGACTAATAACGCCTGCAGTGTTACTTGTACTGGCCTCAGGTCAGGACTATGACTACAGGAAAATACAGGAAGACGTACCACATGTCTGTCGCCTCACTCAGGGGTTCATAATTGATCACCTCGGGAGCTGGAAACCAGAAAAACAATCGGAGCCATTTCACTTACACAAAGGCATATATACAAAACACAAAATAATGTAGACCTGGGCATTTCCATTAAAAATAGGGAGGGATACAGAATATAATTGCACTGCTTCCACATGTACTATTTAGTAATACCATCAACAGATACTTAAGAACTATGCGTAAACTAAATTATATAATATATATTAATGTAACATATAGCTGTTAATGTGCTGCGCATAGCACCTCAGTCCAACTTTGTGTCATTGTACAACTTCCTGTCCTGAACCACAACCTTCAACACATCGCCATGACAACCCGTGTACCTCCTTTGTGTGGAAGTAACTGAAAGATGGAATGTACCACTCACCGATGTACTGGGGGGTGCCGCTTATGCTCTTGTACTCCTCTCCTTGTTCGAAGTGGTGCGCCAGTCCAAAGTCGATAACCTTAATGTTAGGATGCGGCACCGCCTTTTCCGACAGCATGATATTTTCCGGCTGAAGATAAGGGGTAAAAACACAGGATGAGTGGAACGCTAGATCACCCATGAGTGTGTGTGTGATTCAGCCCTGCGCTCAGGCCTCACCTTTAAGTCAAAGTGGGCGATGCGCTTGCTGTGCATGTACTGGACGCCGTGGAGGATTTGCTCGAGGAACTCTATGGCCTCGCGCTCTGTCAAGTTCTCCTTCTCCGCCACAAAGTCAAAGAGCTCCCCACCACGAATCCTGCAGAGAGGGGGGCGTTATGAGAAACAGGAAGTGGGGCCACTTTGGGAGGGAGCCCATCTGAGATAAGATGACATCGTTGGGAGGGCTTGAGGGGAGGGGTGGGAAGGGGGGGGGGGGGGGGGGGGAAACCTGACAGAGGAAAGCAGCTTGTAGATCTTCACTTTCATATTCACAGCTCATGTTATTGTGGTTTTTATTTGCTTAGGTAAATCACACTTATTGCCACCAGCTGATTCTCCCACAGGATGCTAAGAAAAATGCCACTGGGCATCGTTCCTGCCTGCACCACGGCTGGGGGGCCCCCACTGCAAAGTTCAGCAAGGCTCCCCCGGCCAGCAAATATTTCCAAGTGCCTCTTTTGATAGCGGATGATCACACATTTTTCGTTTACTGAAACCCCCCGCCCCCTTCCCCGGGTCGGTTAATTTTCCCGGGGGCCCCCCCCACCCCGTCGACCCTCCTGTGACACCCCTCCTCCCCCCTGACCATAAGGCCTCGTCCCATCGTGCTCTAAGGGGGCAGCAAGCCTTCCATTTTGTACAGTAAAAATCTGCTGCTATCTGCTCATTAGCTGCACATATCATTAATGGTCAATTTTTTATTTCTGAAGTACTGGAATATATGTTGGTCCCCCCTGGATATATTATTTGTGTATTGTGTACTCGGGGCAGCATGGTGGGGCTGTGGGTAGCACTGCTGCTTTACATATCTAGGTCGAGGGTTCGAGTCTCCGCCATGGCTGTGTGTGTGTGTGTGTGTGTGTGTGGAGTTTGCGTGTTCTGCCCATGTTATTGTGGGTTTTCCTCCAGGTACTCCAGTTTCCCCCCACAGTGCAAAAACATGCTGAGGTTAATCAGAGTTACCAAATTGCCCCTAGGTATGCATGTGTGAGTGACTGGTGTGTAAATTTGCCCTGCAATGGGTTTGCTGCCTTGAGCCTGCAACCCTCAGGATGAGCTGCAGGCCCCCTAGGACAAGCAGGTATAGAAAATCGATGGGTGGATATTGGGTGCTGAAAAAGACAGAGGGTGGGATCACAGGTAGATGATCTTGGTATATTGTTTCGCCTCATTAAATTCACACACCTGTTGCAACACATGCAAAGACACAGAAACAATAGCCTCACGTTCAGGAACCTCCCTGCATGGCCCCTTTCAGGAGCCTCCCTGCATGGCCCCGTTCAGGAACCTCCCTGAATGGCCCCGTTCAGGAACCTCCCTGCATGGGCCCTTTCAGGAACCTCCCTGCATGGCCCCTTGCAGGAACCTCCCTGCATGGGCCCTTTCAGGAACCTCCCTGCATGGCCCCTTTCAGGAACCTCCCTGCATGGCCCCTTTCAGGAACCTCCCTGCATGGNCCCTTTCAGGAACCTCCCTGCATGGCCCCTTTCAGGAACCTCCCTGCATGGCCCCTTTCAGGAACCTCCCTGCATGGGCCCTTTCAGGAACACCAGATACACCAGGCCGATGAGCTGGCAGTGTCGCCTGCCATCACTTTAAACAGTAATCTAATATCCCTGACTGGGCTGCAACCACGGCTCATTTAGCGGCTGCCATGGTTAGCATATACGACAGTAATAAAGAAAAAAAAATGGTTTTGCCCAACACATGCATTTACAAATTCAGCACACCTGACAACAACACACACCGGAGAGATCACTGAAGCAGAACATTGCTAGAATGTTGCTAAAAATGTCCATTTCACGAAGGATTACAGAAACTGAGTATGGAGGGCTGAAGTAAAGTCGTAGGCACGGTCGCTCTCACGCCTAGGCTACCGTGATTTTCCCTTAGCAACCATTGCGCTTAACAGCCAGGTTGTCGGAACAGGATTTGGTGGCTAAACGAGGAGTGCTGTACCGCTAATAACAGAGCAGCCCCTTACCCAGTAACGGCCTGCGTTTTGTCCCTGGGGCAGCTACGCTAACAGCAGCTACCGCCAGCTCCTTTCTTTCAGGACAGGTTCCTGCTTGTCGGGATTCCGACCGAGGATAAAAATATGCAGCGACAAACAAACCTACCGGCACCAAACAAATCTGCGTGAACCTTTGGATTGGCTAGTTTGATCCTCCTCATACTCTGCATCTCTGGTTCATTTGATACTGTGCCATCTTTTAGTATCTCTTTATTTTAAGCAAGAAAATGTACCTAATAAAGAATCTTCCACCATGGTCATTTAAATCTCTTAATCCAAGGCCCTACTTCCCTTTGTCTCCTACACTCACAATGAGTAGGCCTCAAAACATTTGGCATGGCCATGGCTATTAGACAATGGGCCCTCTTCTTCTATTATTGACACATGGCCCCAGCTCTATGTCCTTAAAATCCTTTTTCTATCCAACTAAAGAACCCACTGTGTAGTTTACTTCAAAGACACAACAACTAAATCCATCTCAAGGCTGAAAATCTGTAAACACTCCTTACAAAACAATACCTACAAAGCATTCCTCTGCAATGTACTACTTCTGGGCATGAAAATAATAGCCAGCAGGTCTGAGATATTTTCCAAGTCTAAGGTGTTGCAAGTCTATTTTTTGTAGATATCTATATGTAGTTGTGAGTGTCTGTACCAGTAGGTGAGAGATGGGTGCATGGATGCGACAAAGCAGTGTGTGATTAACTATTACATAGCTGACAAAACAAGTTTTTGCAATTTCAATTTCGAAAACAATTTTGTGATTTATAATTGTAGAAAATGTATAATTTCTTTAATAAACAGTGCAGAAATGTTGCAATTTTATTGGGTTAAGTGACAAACAGCAGTTGATGAGTTTTCATCAGTAATATCACACCAAACGCCAACTTCAAATGTTTCTCCTCTATTCACAAAGACCTACTATTTTCTTCAATGTGAAATCCTAACATTGACAATAATAATAGTGACTATTGTGGCAGTTCTTTATAAACAATCAAATGAGTTGAATAATATGTGAATGGATAAATGAATGGGAAGAGTGCAACACATTACTACAATACCTGAACACAATGGTGTCTCCAGCCTGAAATCCGGGTCAAATAATGTGCATGCAAGCAAAAGCAGTGCCATAATGTGCCAACAACACCACTATACTGATGCTAACGCGTGTTAAAGCAATGCTAACAATTATCCAGCAATGCTAATGTGATAGCTGAAGATGTTTATGACAATAAAGGTTTGTGTGAACTGCGCCACCACGTGCTAACAATGCTACTATACTTTTAAGTCCTCGAGGGGAAGTTACCTATGAAATTGTTTCTGGTCAGACTGCTGATAAAATTCAAAGTTACTCAAGCTACACAGATGTCTAAATATATCATTGACATGTATACAAAATGGTCGATCTTGTCATTAAATAAAACTTGACCACCTACCACTATCCCCCTTTTTCACCCCCCACTGTCCTGTCCTGCTGTTGTTCATCAGTCCAAATGTAAGACCAGTGTTCGATTTGAGGGGATTCGGGGACGACCATAAGGGAGAAGAGTCCCCCTTAAAATGGCCATCTTACATAGACCCCGTCTCTCATTTTGCCTTTGCCACCCCCCCCCCCTTCAGGTCAACAACTTTTATGGTCACCATCCACCAAGGATGTAGTTTTGGTTTCAACACTAGTGGGGCCAAATCAGCCCAATCCCCCCCTCCCCCAACACACATGGTACTCCCATAATATTGACAGAAACATGGTCCTACTATCCATACCCAAATTTATGTTCTTGCCACCCCCCCCCCCAATATAATCTTATACAGCTGACCCCCTCACTTTGTACCACGTAAAAAGTTTTAGTCCCCTTAGCAAAGCTAAAGGATACAAAAAATTCAAGATACATAGATCACTGGCAGATCACTGGCAGATCACTGGCAGATGTCGTGTGAGAGGCTGCCGAAAAACTGGCGTCCTCTAAACCAGCACTGTACAGGAGCTCTTTGTGTCCTGAACGTGTATCTTACGCATTTCTGTATCGTCTGTGGCTTTTGCAAAACTCCCAGAAACTCCCCAAAAAATCCCATTTCATCCCTTATGCAGGCCCTGCGATATATCAGAACCTCGATGGGGAAAGTGGCAGTGCAGAAAAACCGTGATGGGGAAAGCTGCAGTGCAGAAAAACCGCGATGGGGAAAGCTGCAGTGCAGAAAAACCGCGATGGGGAAAGCTGCAGTGCAGAAGGGTCGACTGTGCTATACAGTTGGAGACCCCTGTGACTTTCAAGTTGAAACCCAGTATGAGTCACACAGCAGACCGGCCCCCACCGCCCCCCACACCCTGGCTGAGCCCCCATCTGTCACTCACAGCTCCACAATGAGCACCACCTCTGCTCTGCTCTCGAACACGTCTCGGATGGCCATGATGTTGCCATGCTGCAGGGTCTGCAGGATCTCCACCTCCTTCTCCACGCTCTTCCTCTCGATCCCCAGCCGGCTGCTGGCGTTCTTCCGCAGCTTCAGGAACTTGCCCGCCCAGAGGGTCCCCGTGGCCCGTTCCCGCACCTCCCGGACCTGCCCAAAGTGCCCGCTGGGTGGGGAAGAGGGGTTGGGGGGGGGGGGGGGTGAGATTCGTTAGGGATGGCTGAGAATGGTGTGTTTTGCGTGAGTGTCACACCTTAGCGTTGATGTCGGCAAAATTCTTTTCCTCTGTGACACAAAAAGCTCCATCACACCAAAAAAGGGAAACTGTTAACGTTCAAACCGCTGGATGCAGTTTAAAGTTAAACTTGGTTCTTCCTTTTTTGCTACTGTAACTTTTGGCGGCTTTTTGGCTACGGAAGGGCAGAGTGACACTGAAGTCACATTGCAACGGCCAGATTTGCAGATGGCAGGAGGTCTGGCTAAAGGGGTGATACTGCAGGGCACAGAGCGACGGAGGGGCGTGGTCACCTGCCCAGCACTTCCCCGATCTCGTACAGGTCCTCCACGTTCTCCAGCTTGAAAAGGGCCATCGTGGTCCCTGACTGTGACCCGCGGTGGCCTCCTTTTCTCAGAGCCCCCCCGGCTCTCTACTGCATACTGGAGTGGACTGGAAAGAGAGAGACGGGAATTATTAGAGCGATAACGTCAAGGTCCAGGGACCTTCTCTGCAAGACTACTGCACCAGATGGTGATCGTGTCGCCCTACAGACATTCGGCACGATGGCTGGGCCAATAAGTTCAATTATGGCACAGAGCATCCAGAGGTAGAAAATAGAAGTGCAGGGGTGGGGGGCCGAGGCTCGCAAACCCACGACTCTAAATATTTCTGTTGATTCACAGGTACGAAAACCACACGACAGTCTAATTATAGTTATGATGCATTTGAAACTGGCCTAGCGAATGCACCACATGCCCTAATTACAGAATGACACATGCCATTCAAATCCTCCCTCCTCCATCCTGTAGCTGTTATTTCTCCTATCTGTGGCCTAGGACCATATAATGCATATTCAACCTTCTGGAGATCTCCAGCACCTGACAGGACACTCACTAGACAGTGTAGGAAAAACAAAGTCTTGGCTTACACCCGCCCCCCCCCCCCCCCCCCCCCCCCATCCTGGTCTTATAAACGATTCTTTTCCCAGAAATAACACAGAAAACAAAAACAAAACAATCCCACCCTCCATCCAGAACAACAATAGAGAAGAACAAGTCCAGCGTGGAACATTGTTTGATATTAATAGCTGCCAAGCTCATAGACTGCATTACCCACCATGCATTGTGTCGACAAACAGTATTAACGTCCACGAGCTTGGCATGGGTGATGCGATAGCCAGGGAGTGAGACTGGGGGCTTTCGGCAGCAAAGCCGCGGCGTGCGAATAGTGAGCACGTACCGCATCGCACGGAGTTACCAACTACGATAAACAACTTCGACAATGCTGCACCTGTCTCTGCACTCTGACTGACGGGCCACCGCAGGCGACCGCACATGACATGCTCGGAAATTAAAATACTGCACAAGTGTAGCGGGCCACTTAGCCACCGAAAGGAGAAGAACGTCCCCCCGCATGACAGCGTCCCAGGGGTGTAGGACACTTCTCAAGTTCTCCGGCGTCATTCCGGAGGAAATCCATCAACAAGTTAACGGACAATGAGTTTAATAAAGCTGTTGTTAAATACGATCCAGATGCATCGCATACAGAAGCAGTCAAAAGTCTGGACGCTGTCATCTATTTCTCTCTGTTTTTAGCTACATTATTTACTTTATAGTAAAAGCCCTCAATGAAATGAAGTAAAACATATCAGATATTGCAGTTACCAAGGGAAGTGTTCAACATCTCAAAATGTTCTCAAATTGTAGCCTCTTTTGCTAGGATGACAGCATTACAGACTCCCTGCATTCTTTCAACCTACTTCCAGATGTAGCCACCTGGAACGCTTCTCCAACAGTCCTGAAGAAGTTTCCACAAGTTCTCGGCATAAGTTGGTACCTTGTTCTTACTCGTTGATCCAACTCGTCCCAAACCAGCTCTGTAAGGTTGGGGGGATTGTGGGGGGCAGGTTATCTGTCTCAGCACTCCATCTCCTTCCTTGTTCACAAGATAATACGGTACTTACATAACATTGAGGTAAGTTTAGGGTCTCTATCTTGTTGAAAAACAAATGAGTTTCAGTTGGCGGGCACAAACTTTTGGTACTGTTCTAGAAGAATGTGGGTTCCGTTAAAAAAAAATTAAAAATCAAAATTTGAGATGGGTGTTTTACCTCAATTAAGTAAATTTTGTCTACAACAGCATAAACTGGTATCCCACTTAGCATTAATTATGATTGATACTTAATTGTTCATGAGCCAATTCATTAAATGTAATTTTGTGATTTGCATCCATCCATTGATTTTCCATAATCGCTCATCCAACAAAGGGTTGTATTTAATGAAATAATGACTCATAATTATCGGCAGTTTATGTTACTGTAATTAGCATTACTATGCAGTGTTCAGCACAAAGAAATGCAAGGCAGCCTGTGTTCTGGCGACTCAGTCTGTCCGAAAGTGACAGGGGGGAGCTAGAGAGTTCGCTGAGCCCTGCGCGAACGGCACGGTGGCACTATTCCTCAGCTGCCATCCTGAAACACATGAGCGGACATGCTTGGCTACATGCTACCCGTGTTCCCTGACGCTGAGAGACACGCTTGTGATCATGTCACCCGCAAACAGTGATGCTCTGACCTTCTACGTAAATCATAAAAAAAATGGTTTTATTTCATTATTATGATGACATTTTTCATTGTTTTTCAGTTGTCAAATGTGATTAAACAACACGACCCTCCAGCTTGACAATTGCATAATCTGCCCCCACAGACTCCAAAAGCCCCTATTTGGTCTGTTTGTCTTTACATTGTCCAGTACTTATGAGACAATAGTGGCATAGAAGCAGCATAATACAAGCTTTTTTAATCTCAGGGTTTCTGGACACACACTGCACCTGTTCATGTAGCAACTTACAGGATGTAGGACAGATACCTCCTCCACTTAAGTTTCAATCTGCCGATCATAACTTCTGTGCTTTACCACATTATCAGTTACACCAGACAGGCCTGTTGTTTGATTGGATTTGTTTTCTTACCTGTGAAGCAGTTTGAGGCATTTGCATTATAAAAATAAACTGTTTAATAACTTACCACTTACAGATTCACCAAGACTTTCATTATAAACACCTCATGCCTAGTGCAGATATACAAAAAAATATATAACATGATAAATAATTATTCTGTTCCTTGCAACTGAAGAATTGTATTCATGTCTTAAGCACTTCACATCTGTGAAAACTATACGCAACAGAACCATTGGAGACACCATGTTTCATTGAACTGCTGTATTCAGAACCCAAAACCACAGAGTGTGAAATCTCCACTTGACAGCTCCACAGGACTAACTACTGTAAATGAACTCGATTAAATGAGACAAGATTACCTGTCCGTAATTTTACATCCAGACAGGCCTTAAAGCCTTCTCTCATCCTGCTGTGAGCGTAATGCGTAAAATATCGGACCGTGGATGACTATTTACTACAAACACGCATGCATGCTTCATTTTATCAGACCCAGCGATGAAAGGGGATTGCAGTAGTACTAAACACATCCTGGCGTAAGCAGAATGCCCTTCGCCACTGGCAGTGTGTTGCTGATTGTTAGCGAGCGTGCATGTGTCTGTTCGCCTGCGCTTCATGGATAAGGACTGAACGTCTGTTTAATAGCATGTGGGACTAAGGCTGCAGGAGAAGGGCTGATAAGATATCATCACACAGGAGAAGGAAGTGGGGGGAGGGGAGATGGTGGGATTGGGTGGTACGAGTATCAGCAGTGAGGAGAAGCGCAGAAGGAAAACAGGAATTACACACAGAACTAAAATAAGATCTGGATGGAAAACAAAAACAAGCACTGATATGAGACGTCTTATGTCCAATAGGCCTGAAGTATCTGCAGCTCATTAGCAGCCCCCCCACCCCTTGATCCATCTGAGGAAACATTCCTCACTGACATTTCTCTGGCCAGCCCAAAACAACCAGTCACTAAACATTTACATATGGTCACAAAATCGCTTTACAGCCTGGAGCTGCAGCCAGTTTCTCCAGCTCTTCGACTTGTTTATGCACTTATTTATGGTATAAGTAGACAAATAAGCAAATCTCAAAGTATACCTGCCTCTGCAGGATTCATAAACATGCTTCATAGAGTCGTAATGTGCCGCTGAGATGAAAATGTACAACTTAAAAGAGATATTTATAATAGATTGTCCTCAAGTCTGTACCTCCCTCAAAATCCCACATGCATGTTGAATGCTTAACCAGTGACAGCATATCCATCAAACACAATGTTCCACCCACCCGTCCCAAGCGGCACTGAGCAAAAGGCAGCGGGACACCCTAGATGGGGCTGCCAGTTCAAACACGAAACAATCTCAATGTAATTCTACAAAAAAATGTAAACTTTTCATCCATAAATCCTGAAATTAGTGTAAAAGGTGAGGTTACCAATGTAGGCTAATATTCCGCTTTCTGCGTTCCGCTCTGGGAGTCGGTTCTGTGGACCGGCCCAGTCCGCTATGGGTTAGGCAGGGACTGTCCACCTCTCATTTCAAACCGACTGCACAAACTTAGGAAATATCCAACAATAATCTATTTAATATGAGGGTGCGTTTTTTTCAGATTGTATGATTTGAGGTGAAATTTATGACGATGCTCAAAAATCAGTGGATTACAACAATTTCAGAATTTTGGAAGTATCTAGTCTACTGTACGTAGGCACTGTGAAAACTGCCTGGCTTTCGAAAACGGGGTAATAAGAATATATTATTACTGTTTTTTGTGATAAATAACCCCCTGTACTTATTGCATCGTTTTATACATAATGTATTTATTCAAGCAGTCCACTGACATGCGCTCCTGCACTTTTTGCACATTTATCAACATGTCCACATTGTAGGCTGTATACAACAAAATTGCATGTGACCGTTCTCTTGTCTTAACCGTGTGTGAATCCACTTCGTGCACGTGAGCCACTGACAACCGGAGACAAATTCCACGTATGTTCGAACATACTTTCCCAAATAAACCCGATTCGTATCAATACCGAAAAAATGATGATTAAGTGATAATAGTATTTAATTACAGAATAATCAATGATCGTGTTAGAATGAGATCAGCAAACTGCAAAATAACATAACACATCACATTAAGTCAAGCAACTTACCGAAATAAGCACGAAGTTCAAACCCCTGTATTTGACCCAAGTATGCTTAGATGATTATAATCAGTTCCGTTTTTTAAATCAGTAACAACAGAAATGCTGCAACTATGTAAAAAAGCAAAACAGCGCCGATCGTCGTCTTGGGCGGCTTATTTTCTGGCGTGTTGTGTTTTTATAATGAATTATACGCGCACGATACGCCTAGAAACTGCTGTATTGAATGTGTCCTTCCACTTCTTCTTTTCACCGATTTCCTCTGTTAGACTTACGGGACTGGTTAAGCCGCTCCCTTGTATACTGGATTTGTATTTGCCTGGGGTCAGTGAAAAATTCCTGGGAAGAGACGTTACATGCCCGACGCAGACTCACTAAGGAAAAGCGCAAGCAGTGGTGGTCGGTAATGGTATTTATAGACAGACTAGCAATTGTGACATTTCTGATTTCTGAATCTGCCGATGTAGTTTAAGTGAGTTTGTGCTCTTCAGTGTGTGTGTGTGTGTGTGTGTGTGTGTGTGTGTGTGTGTGTAGGTTAATATAGACAAAAGACATCAGCATATAGCATCATTCCCTTTCCGAGTTTGTTCATATGACACAAAACTAATATGCTGTGGAAGCTGACTTATTTTTCAGGTCTGGTTTTCGTGCTTGTTTACTTAAAACATAGTAAAGACCGTTTCAAATGGTTGCACTCGTGGATAAAACGCGGGAGAAAACAGCAAAAACTTAAACTACAGAAAGGCTATACATTCAGTATACGATAAACACATCAAAGCAATTGCTTTAACACTGAAAAGCTGGATTTTTTTCCCATGTAATTTGAAACAAATGATGTATACAGCCTACTAGTAAATTTCAAATCGGCTTTAACATCCAACCATTTTCTGTGACCAATTATCTCATTCAGGATTACAGCAAGGCCGGAATGTATCGCAGGAATCAGAGAACTCCCGGAACAGGAGGCAAGTCCAGCAAACAGCATAAAGTCAAAACACTGAGGGCAATTCAGACACTACAGGCCAGCAGAGTTCACAAAGAAATCCTGTGTGAAAAATTTTGTGCATTTGCTATGCTACAACACTTAAATCATTTAGGACTGAGACAAGATGGGGTGCAATTACTGTTACCAGACACAAGCCATCACCAATCACTTCACTTTGCATCAACCTATAAACAGACATCAGTAAGTGATTATGTGTTGATATACATCAGACACTATGTAACCCCATGTCCATAGAGGTGATGTGATTTAGGGTAACACAGGATTGTCTCATTACGCCATTTCTAATGATTTATGTTCTAACGATACCTAATGATAATGTTGTTTTCATCAATATATTTATTATAAAAAAAAACATTTGATTTTGAGGAGACCCCAGGGGTACAGGGCTTTGTGTGGAATTTGCATGGTATCGGGCTTCTCAAATTTCCTTCTGTGTAGCCAGTGCACAAGTGTATGTGTATGGTGTGGCAGCCTTAACCTATATCCAGGATGTGCTTCCAGAATCCCATGAAATAACTTTCCCCACATTTGCATTAATTCATACAGTGTTCAAAAACACCTAAATGAGGCAACACATAACGAAGAACAGAAGTGAAAAAGGAACTGTAATCTTTCACTGTGACTACGAATTAGGCCTATATAATTAAAATCTCACTCGCTCTGTCGATAACACAACTTTTAAAGCAATGTAAGCACTAAAAGAAATAGAAACGAATTATTTTCTTTATATTTAGACCGTGCTGTGACCATGTTAAAGAGGTGACCGATTAAGAAGACCCAGTTGTGTGTCGTCAACATCACCATGGAATGCCAGGGCATTGAGTTTCATTGGCGGAAGGTAGCGTGTTAAAACAGATGTTTGGAGCAGAAGTGTTTCCAGTGATTCATTACCGTATCACACACCAAGAAACTCAGCTGCATCTAGTTATGTTGCTACATTTTACCGAATAAGGTCACCAAAGCAAGAAAATACGCACAAGCCCATTTCTCAGAATAGTGCATGAACAAAACAAATATTTTTTTACGTCCAGAGGGATGTTTCAAATAAGTACAATTTAAGGCACTGATGGACTCATGGGGGATGCGGGAGGGGGGGGCAAGCCCCGCCCACTGAAAAAATGTTGTTAAATTGCACTCTAGAGTGGTGAAAAGGCCGATATTGGCTGCCCTTCACATAATATAGTGGCATCTAGAGTGCCCTCTTCATGTGAGATATGCCCTATATAAAACAAGAAAATGTGATAGTGTCTTAATGAGTGCCCTTCTAGTAGGGAAAATGTGATGCAGTGCCTTGTTCCATGCCCTTATGATGGCCTAAACGCCCCCCATAGCTATCCTTCCAATGGAAAAGGGTACCGTGATGAAGTGCCCTTCTAGTGGAGAAAATGTGATGCCCTCTGAGGTGCCCATCCAAGCGAGAAAACATGACGAAGCGCTCTTGTAATGGAGAGAAAAAAAATCTGATTGCTGCCCTGCCAGCGAAGGAAATGAGATATGGTGCCCCATAAGAGATGTGGCTTCGCAGACATGCGAGAGAAGTAAACACCTTGTAGGTATTCCTATGTGTAAGAAAATGTGACACCTAGCTTTCCTCTATAGTTGACGAAACACTGGTTGAATAATCTTAATCGGGGTTGAAAACTACTTCACCATACACAGCGTACCATCCTACTAGTGCGAGCTGGGGAGTGCACGCGTCATGCAATAGGTGCCCCTTTTATGTTTTCGCCCCTGTCCTTCAAACAACCTACTGATCTGTCCGCTACTGATCAGGGAAATGTGAAAACATTCAGGCAATGTGAAAATATGAAAAGTGAGCCCGTTTTGTCATTAGGCTACATAAAGATACAACAGTTCGCTACTGGCGATTTACTGGTACGACACCACAAAATATCACGATCCAATCTGATGACGTACAGCCACTCTCGTGCAGTTTCACGATGCCGGCCTTTTATAAGAAGGCTTTGTATTTCGATCAGGAACAACGCCGAATGCATTATGACTGAGACACTAACTGTACGAACCGATGGAATGGCAGCTCTTTCTCTGCGGGGATTTTTGGTCACGACAAGTACAGCTTCAATCGAGGGTAACATTATCCCCGCCATAGGAAAACCTGGTTAGCCTGCAAAGCAGAAAGTCAGCAACGTAAACACTGTAGTTGTCGCATTATCAGACAAAACTGCAGTCATGCATCGTTGCTACTATATAAGGGACACCGATCGCCTAAGTGCCACCGGAGGCTTCATTTAGTATTTGCTTTGGTTTTTATGGTTTTAGAACGAAGCATTAAAAGAAAGATTTTTCTCGAATTCGAAAGAATATATGGCGAAGTTATGCGACTTTCTGCACGTTGCACGGACAGGTGGGCGCCAAAAGGCAATTGGGTTTTATTCCAGCCGTGATCCACTGAAATTCTCGTCTGCACCGCAGCTGTTCGGATGATGGTCAGCCGCATAATGACCGGCATCACCGCGGTCTTTAAAAAGCCTATTATCACGTAAAGTCACCGTTAAGTTAAGGGATTCTGCGTTAACAGGCACAGGAGGACAACAACGCTTCCGTATAGCTGCGCAGTCACGCAACAAATTCTCCTGGTCGATTCTCCTTTCACTTCTTTATAATTACTTTTCACAATGATCATATTGTACACAAATTACATGCTGCATTACTAATACCAGTCAAGGCTGTTACCATCAGCAGCGACCACAATGAAATTTCATATATCCTTTTAACTTCTTCCGCATAATACAGTAAAAAATACTTCACAAACCACAAACTAACCCCCATACACACATTCCCATTCATGCACAATAAACAAGGGAATCGCGTTACCTGTACTGTCTCGTTTGAACCAATTAAATCGAGACAATTCCATTACTAAAAATATTAAAGTGTGTCTTATTTCACGATGTCAGGAACATCATACGACGCAGATCGTCGTAATTGTGCCAAGTTCTTCTACCTTCACTGCGCTTCATATGCACTCCTTCTCAAGATGTACCAATCCCCATTTGGCCAAAACTGATAAAACACCCAACTTGCCGACGAGCCGTAATACGCAGAATGGTTTAGTCTGCAGTCGTCGTTTTGTTTTCTTCATTTTCTTCTCCCGTGTTTCTAGCGACGCCTGGTGGGTAGATTAGATAACGGCGTGAAAACGGAATTTTTTTATAATATATTTTTTGCGTCAGTGACCATATATTGCATTTAAAAGTAGAAATAGGTAGCCATCATCTGCCCCTCATATGAAAAGGTTATCTTGGTCAAGGTGTTGGGGCATGGAATTTATTCCAGTCGGTCAGTTTTCACCTCAGTGCTCAGCGTTCTATTTTAGTGAAGAAATTCAGGTTAAATCATTATACTGTACTATACAACAGCAGAGCTTCTCCTTTCCCCTAAACATAATATTACGTCTGCTTTTCATTTTCGAATGCCTGATTTTGTTCTACTGTTACCTGCGGTCTGTGGCGTTTCATTTGTTTCATTGTTTATTTTTTTTTTCTCAGTGTTTTCTCTTCCTCTCTTCCGGTGTATCGCAAGTCACTTTTTAATCCTTCTCCTTAGACCAAATTCAACACTGATCAAAACCCCTTACTAATAACATTTTATAATTATCCCCAACAAACAGACAAATTAAACTCACAGAGAATAAACTGCATTATTTATATGCTTTTATATAACGTGGGAAAGTGGAACAATCATACTTAAGAGAAACGACACCTTAAGCCACAACCATGTCCCGCCTCTTTCCTCTTTCAGGCATGCATATTTCTGACATCAGAAGTGACACAGAACAACGGAAAGTATCTGTACATTCAACGGCCACCTAGGTTCTTACGTCGTCGCTTTCTCTTGAGACCCTCATTTTTCATTTCATTATGGACTTCGACTATCAAAGAATAAAAGGTCAGACTTCTAGAATTTCTTGCTTAGTGTTTTGAATGTATTGATTAAAAGTAATAATTGCCTCCTCTGCCTTAGCAAACAGAAAAACAACAATGGGAAGCTCATAAAATGTATATATAATCTTCTAGTTACGTTTTTAAAAGTTGCTAAATAGTAAATGCTCAGTAATTGCTTCATTATTTAATGTGGGTTGAAATATGAATGCTATTTTGTGAAGATTTTCCATTTTGCATCTGAACAAGATACAGAAAAGACAAAAAGAGAAGGGTGATGCGAGAATAATTGTTGAATGTTTTCTAAATGCCTATTATAACAGAAAGGACATAATTTAAAATGACCTGATTTACGAAATAATTCTAGAGGAACAGACCGATGTCACTTAACGGTTCTAAAATAGAATGTTGACCTTCCGCTCACGGATAGTTTCACAATGATGTGAATGTTCGTGAAGTGCATTAGTGTACAAAATTGTGGACATTTTTGGCATTGCGGTTTAAAAGTTACTACACGAATACTGGCGATAATGTTTATAAACAAAAAATGTAAAAAATATCATATATTGGGCGATTAAATAATTAACTGGAGCAACAGCTGAATAAAGTTCTGCAATCTCTAAAAACTGTTAGTGTTTCCACAGTTTGTCCACTAGTGTATGTTTAAGGCTTTCTTAAAATGCAGGGAAAAGTTGTTCCCCACTGAGTTTCATATTGAAAAGCTTTGAAGTGTCAGCGTGGTTCTTCCGGCCAAGAATTTATGTGAAGATTGTCATTGGCAGATACTGAAAAGCAACAGCGAGATGAGGTCCTGTGCACGCTGCCAGTTCCACGGAGGGCTGGAGTGCAAGGCAGAAATGCACCTCAGCCCCCTCCCCCTGCTCAGATCCCCCCCATCAAACCAAGGAGAAGTATAAAGTGCCGAGTCAAGCTGCAAGACACGGTAGGCCTCTTCACGCGGCCTGCCAGCATCACCCAGCAGTTTGAGAAGCAGGCCTACCTGCTATTCCCCACAAGCTTGTGTACTCTCACAATGTAAAATTAATCCTTAAACTGGAATCTACATTGGCCAGTCATTTTTTGAGATAGATCCTTGAAAATCTTGAGGAAACTGTCTCTTTCGAGACTCCATATGCTTATACATAATGTGTTGTGGTTTCATATACTGTTACAGTACAGTAACAGGTTGTCGGCATTCATTTCTCTGCTCTGGACCAGATTGTGCTTTATACACAGGAAATTCGACCTGTGATACCTGTCAGAGGCGGCATTTAGTAGTCTTTTTCAAAGAATCGGAAAAAAAAGACACAGACAGAGCACACTGCAACCAAATAAACTTCCTGTTGACTTGATCAAAAAAAATTAGATACGCGAATGCTTGTGGTCAGTGCTTTAACAGGATGTCTTGCAGTCTCAATCTGTAATTTAGAAAAAAAAGTTTCCATTTCCTCATTTCTTGTTAATTAATCACTAGTTCTACTGGCCCGAGCCTCGATTCGTACAAACACACAGATCCATCTTCACGCTAATCGGATGCTTTTTTGTTGCTTTCCTTGGCCAGAGCGATTCGCAGAGCTTATCACTCATGAACATGTCGCTGAGTGGACCAATGGAGCCTCTTTCCATCCCCCTGCGTGCCCACACCCTTCTGTGGTTTGAGACGTCGCAGCTGCCCCGGCTGAGCAGACCTGGGCAGCCCCTGCCCAGCTGGCTGCACGGTTTCATCACGCGCAAGTAAGGCTCAGGCGTCACCCTGCGCACGACCTACCAAAAAAGCGGACAACGCAAAAAAGAGCCAAATGCTTTTGTTACACACCTGTTTATAATTCAAATTACCCTTCGTTTTGGTATCTGAGCAAGTAGGAAGCGTCCATCAGTAATCGAGGGCGGTTTTGAACTAAGCGAATATACTCACAACGCATAGCTGTGACCTTCTAGCCTAGTGGCCAGATCATATGCAGTGTCTTGATGGACGGTGCAGTCAAATGGACATTAATGAATGCATTATCAGGGCTGGTCGTGGTTGTTCTGGCACCCTAGGTGAGATTCTGTCATTTCAAAGACGACGAAGCCGCAAACAAGAGAAAAAAAAGAATTTCTCAGAATGTGACATGTAGACTTTAGCGTCTGAGGTAGAGCAATGGCCAACCATTTTATTTGATACTATATCTGTCAGCTGGCAGAGTGCAATCAGCTGAACTGCCAGACAATGACAGAAATTAAAACAAATTCCTTGTGTTTGCTGCACACACATTTGTACTGTAGAGGATTAGGGCCACCATGAAAATATTATTTGAATTCTGACTTTAATCTCAGATTTCTGACTTTATTGTCAGAATTCTGACTTTAATCTCAGAATTCTGACTTTAATCTCAGAATTCTGACTTTAATCTCAGAATTCTGACTTTAATCTCAGAATTCTGACTTTTTTTCTCAGAATTCTGACTTTATTTCTAAACTCAGAATTCTGAGACTAAAGCCAGAATTCTGAGAATAAAGTCAGAATTCTGAGAATAAAGTCAGAATTCAAATAATATTTTCAGGGTGGCCCTAATCCTCTTCCGTACATTTGGCCAATAAAGCTGATTCTGATTCTGAAATTAAATTAAAAAGCCAATGAACCAGCATTCCGCTTCCTTACATTGTTGGTGAAATGGGAGTTAATAGCCGACGGTAGTGGGTAACCGCTCTTTCCTGTAATGTCCTGTATGTATTACATACACATATTAGTCAGAGGAAAGCTTATATATACACAATTCTGTGCTGTACATCATACTGTATATATATATATATATATATATATACAGTATATATATATATATGTGTGTGTGTGTGTGTGTGTGTGTGTATGTGTGTCTGTGAATAATGGACAGGGATATGGCTGATCTAAGCCTGACCCTTTGGTATGTTCCTTTTGCCAAAAATCCAAGTGTTGTCAGTACTTATAATGACGGGCAGGAACAGCATGATTTTGTAATGTAGGTTGTTCATGAGCCAGTTCTATCACACAGATCCATCAGAATTTCTCCTGCCAGAATAAAACCACTGACAAGCCACAAATCCTCATTGGAAAAATAATCACTGTGATCTCCGAATACTCACTCCCTTCGTATGTGGCTGCGCGTAACGTCCTGTGACACAGCCGACTGCCATGATGGTGCTGCGTGTAACATACTTACACACGGGCCTTTTTACAGCGATCACATGTGTGTGCGCATGTATTGGTGCCTGCTTTGGCTTTTCCGTATGCACACCTCTAACTGATATTGTACATAATAAATATATGGGTGAATATGAAATCCTTCATTTAAGACAACTCATATGTTGCTTCACTCAATACAGCTGCTAAATGTTATCTGCATATCAGATACAATAAAAATGCTTCTCTATTTATTAACGTCAGTGGCGTCAGATGGAGTTTGACCAAATTTTCCCCAGCAGCAGACGTGTGAGAGGTTTGGGTGTGATGTGTTTCATGACATTGCACACATGCAACAGTCACATTGTGAAAATATGTGATGTAAGAAAGATGAAGTGTTATTTTATTTAAAAATAAAAAAAGACTTAAGATAAAAAAGATCATTTAAAAGTTTTAAGACTAACACTGTTTACGGTGCAGTTTCGCAATTAAAAATCACTAAAAAAATAACTCATCCATTTGTTCGCTAGGTATACGTGAATTGGCCACAGTAACCAGTGACTCACTGAAAGCTAGGTCTCAGAAATATGGTGAACTTAACTTAAGTATAAAAAAATAAATGTACAGGTCATTAAATATATAAATAATACATGTATACATATTGGTCAAGAAAAATAGGATAATTAGCTCTACGCTTATTCATTTAACTGTTTCTACATTTCTGTATTTATACATTTCTTCATTTATTTATTTCTGTATTTCTGCATTTGATTATTTCTGTCTCTTTATGTTAATAAGGTAGGCGGGTCTAACCTCACTCAGAGCAGGACTGGAAAAAGAGGCGGGATCATTTTCGCTCTACTGCTAATGCCTTGGCTTCAGGCACCCTGAAGAAATGTGACGTAAGAGCCCCAGAGTTCAATTGGTGACTGGTGTTGTTTTGTTGCTTTTTGGCATGCTGGGATATTTTTTACGACTTTTTTACGAGTCATTGCTAATAATTTAGGATTATCAATGAATGATTGCGGGAACCAGGCACCAAATCACAACAATCTATTTCGTGAGGAAAGATTAATGGATAGTTTACTTCAGCTGAGTGCTGATATGGATGTGGACATCGGCCTATTTGTTCAGTTTGCCAAAAAGCAGCCACACCAAACCAAGGCATTAGCAGCAGACCCGAAATGATACCACCTCCAGAACCGCCCACCTTATTAACATACCTAAACAAATACAGAAATAAATACATGAAGAAATGTATAAAATACAGAAATGAAGAAATAGATAATCATGTCGCTTTTCATGACCAAAATGTCATTTATTTATTTATTATTTCATGATATATTTGTACATTTATTTATTTATACTTTTGTCATGCCATGTTTAATCCACCATAGAGAAACTCGCTCTTAATTCTTCCTATGTGTGTAATCTGTCTCATGACACAAACGACTGAAATAGGCAAAGACGCCGTCATGAACGCCGATCACAAAACCCAGAAATATCAATGTTATTTTTTCCCCCAATATTGTTCAGGTCCAGAAAGTAAAAATCCAAACCAGGATTTTGTTTCAACCAACCAGTTGAATATAAAGAGTCACAGTCACAGAGTACTCAACTGGTTGGTTGAGACAAAATCTTGGTCTGGATTTTTACTTTCTGGACCTGAAATGTCCGCCTTTGCTAAATAGATACATGTGAGATTACTGGTGAAAGCTGTAGAGAGTGGTCAGGCTCCTGATTCATGCGCATTTCACCAAGCGCTTAAACTGACTGTAAATTCAACTTAGAAGTACTGTACATTTTTATCTGAAGTCTAGATGTCGCATTTTTTCTATTTCCGCTGAAACGTTCGTACTACTGCTCTGGACCATTCCTAAATGTGCGAGCTTTTTCAGGAGAAAGTTTTCTTTACAAATCCCAAAATCTTCTCATGAATGCGAATTTTTCTCGTCTTTTTCGTTTGTACGTAGCCTTTATAATAAGTTCCCAGATTTTATTGACGGTTTCATTTTCTTGCCAATCTTGCAAATTCAGCGACTGAGGAACGACGCATTATTCGGACGTTTAATTGGGGCTGCAGGTGGTTGTCCCGTCAATAGATGTCGCTATATTAACAATGTAAATGACTGTAATGCTACAGAATGCAACCGCGGGTTTATCTGATTTTTTTTTTTAACCCTAACCATAATTAAATGGTGCCCCGGGCGATCGCCTATGTCGCCTATAGAGTGGGTCGACCCCGTGTGTTATTGTTGAAATTGCAAGACTTTCTACTTTATGTTTAAGGTTTACTTTTTATAGTAACGTGAACACCCCTCAGCCGAACGCTAACAAAAATAAATAGAATGAATCTGTAAAAAGACATTTCAGTTCAAGTTACTATTCATATTTTGCAAATCCATATAATAGATTTTTAAGGCTTTTCTGATACCCCAGTTCTTGTCATTGGAAATATTTAACAGTTTTCGGTAATTTACGAATTAAGATATATTCTAAATGTATTTTTCATTTTAAATAAAATAATTCTGAATTGAATAATATTGACGTTTCTGAGTATTTTTAATTGCCGTTTATAAACCATACTTGTTTCTAGCATCAGATGTGTTGATGTTGTGTTCTTTGGGTGACTAACGTTCTTTTTATGTATATCACTCAATATATGATAAAAAGAAAAGAAAATATCAGAGCGATGAGCTTTTGCATTTCTCCTTCTTCAGGGAGGCGGAGGAGTTCCTGCAGGATAGAATGCAGGGCTGCTTCCTCTTGAGGCTCAGCGAATCCATGATTGGCTTTGTGCTCTCCTACAGGTACGGCACTTGCTGGTCCTATTTAGCTAGAACCAGGGGCATAGCTAGAAATTATGGGGCCCCAGATAAAATTCCACCTTGGTTCCCCTGTGGAAGATTTTCCAGGGTGGGGTGGGGGGGTGACCCTCCACTGCAGGTTGCCCCATATTGCAATGTGATGTCATATGGTCAGTTATTTTATTACAAAATGTCCTGAATGAACAGCACAGCATTACTACCTGTCGTCACCCCCCCTGCCAACCTTCTGCTTCCAGGGGCAAAGACCGGTGCCGGCACTTCATCATCCAAGAGGAGGGGGGGGATAGGGGTGGGGGGGGGCGCTATCTCATTACCGGGGAAGAGAGCCGGCATAACAGCCTGCAGGAGCTGATCTCCTATTACACGCAGAACTATGTGGGGCCCTTTGAGGAGGTGCTGACGGTTCCCTTTGTGAAGGTATGTCTGGGTATCTCACACACACACACACACACACACACACAGGTTTGTAATTATATCTTTGTGGGGACTTGTGGGGACTCTCCATTCATTTCTATGGGGAAAACTCTAGATCTTTGTTGGGACCTGAAAAATGGCCCCCGCAACATCAAAATAACAGGTTTTTATCACATTTTGGGGAACATTTGGTACCCACAATGTAATATAAACCTAATCCACACACACACACACACACACACACTGAAAGATATCACGTCATGCTACCTTTTAGTGAATTACTTTCTCTTGATGGTATTTGAGGATGAAGCAGCACAGTGACTCATTGGGTCACCTCACACTTCTACCTCACCACGTGTGTATGGAGTTGGATCATTCTCCCTGTGTTGCAGATCTGCTTCCACAGTCTAAAGTCGTGGCTGGGACCTTGAAAAATTCAACCCGAATGGGGGGGGGATTCTGACAATAAATCGTTCCACTCCAGCATCTGAGCTCCTGAAAGTCTTCTCCTTTCTCCCGCCTTATGGACAGCCCTGGTTTGGCTAATTGGCTTCTCTAAATTGCATGCAGTGTGGGATGCTTCACAGTGCTTCACAATCTGGCCACTCAAAGTAAACTCAGCATGTTTTTGGGTCATGGGGGGAAGCCCCACAATAGCATTGGGTGAACATGCAAACCCCATACAAACGCAGCTGGGGCAGAGACTCAGACCCTAGTCCCAGAGCCCAGACGTAACCACTGTGGCACTGTGCCACCCCTAAGTGAACCATATACAAATCATTAAGCAAAAGACCATCTGCTGAGATGCAAGGCTGCAATGAAATGATAGACAAAGCAGTCCTGTGTTCACCTGAACAGGGCGTGGACACCCAACCTGGCCCACATCCAGCCCCGCCCACACCCAACCTGGCCCACATCCAGCCCCGCCCACACCCAACCTGGCCCACATCCAGCCCCGCCCACACCCAACCTGGCCCACA